CCAGCAGCCGCGGTAACTCCAGCTTCAATAGCGTGTATTCAAGTTGTTGCGCTTAAAATGTTCGCAGTTGAGCTTGCGCTTCATACGCGCAGTACAGATACAATTGCGTGTGTAAGTGTGTTATCGGTGAAGTTTTTATATGCAATTGCAACACTTGCACTCTTTGCATATTCCCCCCATTTTGGAAAAAAAAAAAAACAAAAAAAAGGTTTTGTTTTCTTAAACTTACTGCGGTGTTGCTTTTCAAGGCAACTCGGAAGAAATTAATTTTTGCGGTATGAGTTTTCACCCGATACAATACGGCATCGTGTACAACATCGTGTAAACAATCTAGTTATTGAAAACGAAGCTTGTGGTAATGATCATTAAAATACTTCATCAACTTGAAATGAAAATTTTCATAAGCATATGTCTGCATAATGTAGATTGTCGCAGTTGCGGAATCTATGATATTTGCACTACTACTACTACTACTACTACTTTGATTTTTCATATCAGTGTGATGGACATAGCGCGTATTTGTGTTGTAGGTAAAGTAATTGCTCCGGCCATCTTCTTGTCGCCTCCTCACTTTTTCCGAAACATTATCGTGCTAAGGGATTAGGTGACATCTCCCGAGGTGATTGCTCACATTACGTAAAGATGATGATGAGTGTAAACGAATCGCGAGCTTAGGGTGTCTTCTCTTTTTTTTGTTTTGTCTGAATCGACCGCTGCTTATCTTTTCGTTTGCTTGGTTTGGCTTACTAAAAGCCTCTTTATATTATACTAAAACAATCACACAGTGCGTAATACGTACTTGCATGAAAGAAAGCTGGTATATGAGTGCAGCATAATTTGCAGCATAAAGCATAAATTTAGGTCTACGAATTTTTAATTGCTACTGCGTTCTAAATATTACACGAGTCGACCGCATTGTAATTAATGAAATGAAAAGAGACGTATGTTCATGAATCGGTGCACATACGTGTTTGCGTATGTAACATGCGCGCATAATGTACATAAATGATTTCATATATATACATACATATACCTTGTATTGTACAAAATAACATGTTATTATTATTATTATTATTATTATTATTATTGTTATTATTATTATTGTTATGAATATGAATAAGAACGTGACTATGCACTTAAAATGTGGCTAATTATCAAATTGAGAGAATCTAGCAAAAGTATTGTATCTACATACGCAACATGTGATATAAAGCGAGCTTCCAGTAATCATGAATTAAATCTGTAAGCACTTTAAAGATTTTGTATGCCGTAGATAGCATGCCTATGCTACACTATATGCGTGGTATAGAAAAGAATAAGTTCTTTTAACATTATTAACAAAGAATTATTCAAAAATAAATAAGTGAAATTTTTATATTGTGCGACTTAACAGCAATCTATTCCCTTAAGAATAATTTAACATTGAGTTACTGCTGAGTGCGACTGCGGGTCGTTCGTTCATTCCTAAAATTGTAATGAATTTCGGAAATGATTGTAAGCTTTCAATTTTTTTTTTTTTATTTATTTATTTTTATTTTTTATTTTTTTTATATATAATCTTAATCAGCGTGAGAATGTGCGACCATTACTCCTGTCTATTGATGAAAGTTTTCAAAATCTTAAAAAAGAAAGTTTAAAACGAAGCTTAGAGAAACTTAAACATCGTCAAAGTAAAAACTTTAATTTTATTATTATCGATCGTTTACGACTAATAGCAAATATTGATATGGATTTGCTTCGAATTATTTTTACAACATTTTTAATGATTCAGTAAAAAGATTAGAAATATTAGTTCATGCAAAAATGTCTGAAGATTTGCCGATATATGATATTCAGAGGTACAGTCTTGGCAAATATAACTTTCCTAATCGGGCTTGAGAACAAATCTCAATGAAATTGTTAGAAGACTGAAGGTTGAAGGAAATGTCACCAAGAGTAACAAGAGGTTATACACTGATCTTGCGATTGCATTAAATCTTTACCAGCAGGGAGTACAATATGGTGGCCATGTTCTCCATAGGGCTTGTCCAGTGCACCACATCGAACTTTGATTTCAAGAATACGATTCCGGGTAATAAAGCTTCTTATGACCTCTTGAAGAAATGAGATAACGGAGGCAGCTATTGCTTGCAATTTTCCCCAAAATTCTGCTATAAAAGTGCAGAGAACGATGTGTAATTGACGTCTTCTGCGTATTATACGATTCCAGACCGGAGCTGTAATAATATTTCCAATTGTATTACCGGCAGATTTGCAAGAAAGAAAATTTCTAAAAAAATTTACAAAATTGAAAACGCATTCTTCCTAAGCCTTCTTCTTCATTCGATTCGACTTCGAATACATTTTTTTTTTTATTTTTTTTTTTTATAAGAAATCAAGTGGAAACTATAAATCCTTATCTTTTCAATCATTCTTCGAGAACTTGAAGAACTCACGAAAGAAGATGATGAAGTAAATGACTTTAAGGTATATATATATATATATATAAATATACGCTGAAAGTCAGCCCTTGGCGATTGGGAATGTGGAACTGTTCACATGCATACACGCTCACAATGAAGAAAAAACTAAAAAAAACACCGAAACATATCGAGAAGTTTTTCAAATTTTCGTCTATAACTTTCGAGCTCGTCGTGGATAACATTTTCGAGAAAGTGCTACCCTAGAGCCGCTGGTCGCTAGAGCCACCTGCATGTTCGGTGCGAAAATGATCACAATCGGTTAAGTAAGACCAGCACATTTAACGATTAAATACGTGAGTTAGGATTTATTCACCATTTTACGCCCATTGAGTACTTTTTGATGGCATCTGCTACTATTTGATATAACTAGATTGTCGACCAGGGACTATATATATATATACATATATATATATAAATTTTTATTAATAGTCGTCTCCAATACATCTTTTGCATGTATCATCTACCTTGCAAGTACACTTTCCGCGTACATACTTCTTACATTGAATGGAAGCGTGCTTAGCCATATTTGTCTTTCATAATAAAAGTTAGCGGCACTTCCGAGTATTTAGATTTGGTACATCAAACAATAAACTGAAGCTAAGGTTTCGTTTGCAATTTTTGAGATACTTTGATGAAATTTATTACTCTGATGTGTTTTCGCCCAAGAATAAACGCTATTGACAACGCTTCGGATCGGCGACTTCCTATAAAACGCCTCATTGCAAACAAGTTACTATATGAGTATGTGTAATTAATGGTGAGCCTTAGCCCGCTATAGTGTTTTCAATTGTTTTTGGTGCAACTTATCCAATTAAAAAATAATATAAAACAAGTAAGAAAGTTATGTTCGGCGGTGGTCGAATCTTGCATACCCACCACTATGTTTTTCGCATTCTACTCTTCAAGTTCTTTCATTTATATACCCATATCGCAAGTGTTATTAAGAAAAAAGTACTCGCTTTACTGCGCGCTTCCGCTCCGACCGATTTGGCCCATTTTCAATGCCAACCTGCGTGCAGAAACTTCCAATGTTTTCACTAAATTTGTAGTCGATATCTTTATTTTTGCGACCAGGAGAGTGCCAGCAACATACACAATACAGACACGCAGACGGACAGACATGACTAAATCAACTCAGAATTTCACGCTGATCAAGTATATATATATACGTTATAGGTTTTTTGAAACTTCCCCTCCTATCTTATAGTGGTGGGTATAATAATAAAATAGCAAGTAGTATAAAGGACTATAAGCAAAAGGCATTTTTCTTGCAAAATTCTGCTTTATTCGTCAAACTAGTCTCCCTTCGCAACGATATAATCAGTGCAACAATTTTCAAGATCCTCAAAATACATATCCGTTCCCATGACGCCTTCCGAAGTCGATCTAAGTCCCTTTGGGACTTAACTTCCCATAATAGTCGCTGAAAATTAGATCTGGAAGATTTGGTGAATGAGGCAGTAAATCGGATTTCCATTCATGCAGTTTTTCCATTGTAATCATATGTTTGTTCTATTGTGAGCGAAAGTGTGCTATAGCTTTCTCACAGTCTTGAATCGGGATTGAATATCTCTTCTTTGAATCCTCTTCGCATAAGTTCGTAGTTTCTGCTGTCCCTCTGATGTAAATGCGATGGCCGCCCTGCAACATCTAGCAAATGTGAGCCATGTTATGCTCAGCAGTTATAGTTTCTGAACCGGGTTCGTGCGTTCATCGTCACGTACGTCATGCCACGTCCACAATTCATAAATTGAAATTTCATCGGTGTAAATGATGATGAAGACACTCCGTTCAACTCGTCGTTTGTTTGTGTAGTTTCATAAATACCCTTATATCGATTCGTCCGAACGATTGTGAAACAACGACTGCGCATTGAAATCAGCAAAAAATTTCAGTGAGTATTTGTCAAGGTATGCACAAGCATATGTCCCAATAAGGTTGAACAAATGCTTCCATCTTCACGTTCAGATTTTAGGAAATTTTCGAGTCAACTTAGCTCTGCATTTAGGTCTCTCTTTCTCTGCGATCAAGAAAATGCGAGCAACACATGACGCCTAGGCAGACGGTCACTCATGGCTATATACACTCATATAGAAAGTGTTTTTGTTATGTATGGTACCACCAGAGCTATAAATCGAATGTATAGCGACATTTCGGTAATGCAAGTAGAAATATTTCAGAGATAACAATACATGTTATTGTTACATCATTACCTTCAGAGAGAGAGAGACAATAGATGGCGATAGGAACAATAAGACGCGTGTGCAGTTCATTTTATATCTTTAATCTTTAACTCGTTTCAGATAAAATTACGACGGACCGGTAATGGGCAATGCAGGATATACATGTATAAGACGAACATTTTGCTGGCTTAACATAACGCTATGGGTAAGTGAAGTAAATTTCACTTCAGAAAAACGTAGCCTCATAAGAACATGTTCGAATCATCATATAATATCATGCAATTGCGCCTACAACAGCTACTAATACATACCAAAAAATATTTATATAAGTAGTGGATGCAATAGGCAAAGTTTGACTTGTTCTTTTCCTAAAGCGATCCGATAAAAGTCCTTTCACTTTTCGATAAACTGCTGCAATAAATCAATTTTTCCGCTTTTATGTCAGTATAAAATATTGAATATTTCGTAGCTTTGCAGTTGTGCATTCCTTGGTGCTGGCGTGTGGCTTCGGCTTTCGTATGAGGGTTATGCAACTCTGCTGCCACATCATGCCGTTTTAAGTGCAGATTCCATGTTTCTTGGGATTGGTGTGGTCGGTTTTGTGATCTCGTTTCTGGGATGCTGCGGTGCTTGGGTGCAATCAAAATGCTTATTGGTATTAGTAAGTGACCCTTGCAATGCATTATGTCATTTTTACTTTATAAACATATGGCTTCGTCTTCTATAGTACTTTATGTTGATTGTCTTGCTGTTTGTAAGCGAATTTTTGATCGGTTCTCTTGCTTTCATATTTCGTGGAGGCTTTGGCCGTACGTTGGCAAATGAGTTGCGGTTCGGCATTGAAAATCATTACAATGTTTCCGATCGAGGTTCGATAATAGCGCCATCTGTTGCGACCATATGGGATAACATACAAATATCCGTAAGTTGTAAAGAAATTATTGAAACGTTTGCTCATCAAGCGGAATATTTGAATTCTGATTGCACTCTACACAGTTCGAATGTTGTGGAGTTTCGACCTATGAGGATTGGTATGATGTGCAATCATGGAGCGGTAAACGTTGGGTACCAGAGTCCTGTTGTAAGTCCCTATATGAAAATCGTGGAATTCTTACTGAAGGCTCAGGTGATAGTATCACAAAAATCGATTGCGGCAGGTAATGATGTAACAAACTAATATAACACGTTTTACCAATGAAACTAAGTTTAAAAACTGAATTCATTTCCTTAATTGCTTAGGTCTGAGAACCCATCACTTTGGTGGCCTAAGGGTTGTGCTGATTCTCTGCAAACTTGGCTTAATGGGCAATTGGATGTGATCGGCGCAGTGGGTTTAGGTATAGCGTTTACTCAGCTCTTCGGCCTTATTACGTCAATGTTACTCTTCTGCACTGTCAAACATAAACGAAAACCGGAAACGTATAAATCGTATTCACCGTCGATTGACCCGCAAACGAGACCCAGCAGTTGGGAGGATTGAACGAAAAATGACGGTTATTGAAAATGTTATATGTGCCAAAAATTAATTATAGGCCATTTATATTTATTATAATGATTATATAAAGTATTACCAAGTAATATAGTGTTAAAATTTAAATACATGCGCAGATACATGCAGATGCGGACATATCTAAGCTAAGAAACGAACGAGTACAATAATGAATTGTGATCACATATGTATTTACCGATCACACATCTAATTAATCAGTATACTTTAACTCTACTGCCCGAAAATGTATATTTAATGTACTTCCAAAAACAAAATAAAAAACAAAACAAGAAAATCAAATCAAACAAAAGAATACTAAACTAAACGGATCCTAAAGTTTCGTTCATTAAACCAATTCTCTAATCTATTTATATATATATATATATATATATATGTAAGTACATGAATCCGATACTCCTCCTCAGCAATGTTCACAGTCGTCATTTAGCGGAAAAATTATGAAAGAGTTACGTCTTTTCTCTACAGCTTCGGTCTAAGGAGAACTGACGTCTAATTGACAGCATTGTCTGCGATAAACTACTTCGGCAAATAAAAGATTTATGCAGCAACGTTCAATTCACTCAAAATGTGTCCATTTTTGGAAAGTAAACAGAAATACCATGCTTCAGTCATTATATTATCTGTTGTAAGGAAGCGTTTTTGCTTCCTTACGAAATACAAGTCCGCCCTAGACATTTATCTCCAGCAGGCAACCCGCCAGTCCGATCTGTCCGTGCACGTCCGTCGGGGGTTCATTAGAAGATGAGCAGCCCCCCTCCAGCATCAAATGTATGGTACAAAACGCATAGCGAATCATGCCTGTAGAATCAAAATCTCAAACACACATTAACTCAAGTTCACAAAAACACTCACCTACGCGTGAAAAATTAAAATCACAAAATCTCTGTAAAAATAAAATCTCAAACTACTCCTGTAGAATCCAACATCTCAAACACATTAACCCAAGTTCATAAAACACACACCTATGCGTGAAAAATTAAAATCTCAAAATAAAGAAAAAAAACCTATCTTTGTAAAAGTGAAATCTCAAACCATTCCTGTAAAACCAAAACCGTAGAACCTATGAGTCATATCACTCAAACCCAAGTCGACCTCAGGTATAAAACCGCATGAAGAGTACAACGCAAACGGGAAGAAACCTACATGCCTTAACTGTGTAAGCGAAAGATAGGAATGCGTACATATTACGCAGTACGGTATAAACACCGTTAGGGTCTAAGCTTATAGAAACCCTTATACTACGCAATGCAT